TTTATAATCTATCAAACAATACCTTAAATCAAAAAAGTAACCATTTGCTTGTTACGAATAAAGTGTCGGCAAAATTTTGTGAACGGTAAGTTAAATATAGTTTAATTCTTATTTGTTATTTCAATTTATTCTAAAATTTTCTCTGTAACACGTAATCTGTCAAACCGATTTTTGATAATTTTTGCTTCATATTACTGTTCCTGCACTATCAAAATCCTGCACTAATAAAAACATATGTTTGCTGATGATTCTTGATATTAAATTTTTCCAAGTAACGACTTTTGCCAGTATATGTATTTTCTATAGTTTTTCTATGTGTCTCTATCGCGGTTTATTTACATCACATCTCCGTTCTCTCATACACGCACATCGGCGCTAATGTGCCCCTCCCTTTCATTTTTCAAGTAATAAACAAAAATTTAAACATTATATCTGTCGACGTTACAATCTTCTCTGTACTTTTGCACAAAATGAATCAATGAAATCATACTCTTAGTCTCTATCAAAGCAATTATTAGTAAAAATGTGTTCTCAGATAACCAAAAATATTTTTTTCTTAATATTGTACAATATACGTTAAAAAAACTTTTTCGCAAATACTAACGTTAAGTAATAGCTTTATATCGTATTTTTAATTGTGTAAAACTTGATTTAATTTTTTAACCATGTCTTTTACAATACATTTTAATATTTACATATTATCAGTACATAAAATATTCAGAATTTTACGTAAGATCACATTGAAGAATGTACGTCTTATTCTCTTGTACAGATGTAAACCGTTATTATCTTCGTATAAGTCTAAATTTATTACGCATTGCAACTGGAAATATGAAGTTCCTTATATAAATTACTACCTTAGGGACGAATTTGTTATTGAGTCCATAGAAAATATGAAAAGCATGAAAATAAAAGACATATGTCTAAAAATGACTGAAAATACAATTTGGGTTTATGTCAAGAAGAAACTTATAGCTTTTAATCGTCAAAAGGACGGTACCTTTAAAGGAAAGATCAGTAAATTTAGTAACAGTCAATTTTCAAGCATTGCTTATTGCAATGATATAATTATAAGCGGCCACGTGTTAATATTTATTTATAAATCTTGTTTGATGTTTATTTCATTTTTCCTTTTATTTTTCACACAAATTCTTGCAGAGATGGTAGTATCAGGCATTGGAAAATTAAATCACGGAATAACATTAATAATATTCCACAATTAAAAGCACATTCCAATGTATATGGTGAACACGTTTCGAACATTGAAGCAACACCGCAACATAATATATCAAGTTCTTCAAATTTAATAAAGGTAAAATTAAAAAATTCGGAATTGTGCTATGTTAATGTAGAATGTAGAATGTAAAAAGTCCGTCTTTGTTTAGATACAGAAAAATTCACTTGCAGATGATAATTCTGCGGAAGAAGACGACCCAATTTATAGAGGCAAGAAATTGATTCACTCAATTTCATTAGACCCTACAGGAACAAAAGTTGCTGCTAGTGCCGAAAAATCGTTACTAATTTATGATATTATTACAAAGTAAGTTACGTTTCAATTAATTAATCGATTTCTACAAATGTTTGATTAAACGTTGATTATGTTTGTACAGACACTATTATCTGATCCCATTTCGTATTTATAATTCGTAACTATAACTAAATAAGTTATATAACATACTGGTGAGAGCCTTAAAGGAGTGATGGTGGCCCACTGTGGAAAAGGGAGATCTACATTAGACGAAAAAATCTGTCTGATGTCTGTCTTTGTTTTTAAAATATCCCCCATAACGGTAGTAAATGTAGAAAGAAAACAGACGTTTGCTATTGCATTCCTTTGGCAGCAAACTACATATTAGTTCTTACGCGAAAGGCTCACTCTAGTATATTATATAGCCCGATGACAAGAGAGGAGTCTCCTTTCTCTAGTCTTCTAGGTTTTTATGTATATTTAGAATAATATGCAATAAACTAATGTAAAGCTATTTTAGTTGTAAAGAAATGGATGAATGTATAAATAATAATACTTGTTCCCAACTACTATGGCAAGATCCTCACACTATTCTCATGCTTTATAAACAACAGGTTAAAAAATTGGATATAAGGTAATAGATTTTATTGTTGACATTAACTGGTTATTCAATTTATTTATATTCGTTACTGTAATTTTAGAACACCCAAATTTGTACGTACATTGGATGCTTCTGTCCTAGACAGTGATTATGAATTATATAGTTTCTCTACAGATTATTTGTATACTATTATAACCGGGACGAATATTGGCACAGTGCTTCTATGGGATCAAAGATTGAATAATTACATTCATGTTTGTATTACTTTTAAATTTTATGTGTCCTTCAATAGCCATTATTAGTAACCTCTTATTAACTGTCTTAAAAATTTTCAGACGTATGTAATGCATCTTTTTAGTACAAACCCTGTAATTTCTGTGGATTTTGATAGCACCCATATGTATGCTATTTTAGAACTAGAAGGTTTGTTCGAATATAGTTTTGAAAAAACCAATTATAACTGCGCTAAAAGAAAGAAGTATTTTAACAATTTTGTTTAAATAAACAAAGTTGACTAACAATTTTTTTTCTATTATATTTTGATTGTTTACATAAATTATATACTTAATATCTTGGAACAGAAAATAAATGATATATCTTTGTATGTAATATGTCTTTTTCGAAAATCCATATTTCTCAAAATATAACATTAGCGTGTGTAAAACTATTTGTCCGAAACAAAAAAAAATTTCTAATTTTTTGCGCTGGTAATTAATTTACAGGCAAGCATGTCCACCCGTCCAATAAACAATATCTAAAATATTTATAAAAATAATTTTGTGTAAATGCAACAAACTTGTTTGTTTACAAAAATTATTATGTAGACTACGTGTTTCGATCGTTATTCATGCATTTGGAACAAATAACAATTAACGTGCTATGCGCGTTATTCTTGCATAAGGGATAAAAAACAATATTGGAGTTACAGTTGTACGTTCGGCATTTAAATAATTTAAGAATTGTAAAAATTACGCATGTTTAAGCGCCGCAGAAGTATTTTTCATCTGAGGAGACAAAATTTATAAAGGGGATACATAATACATTCATAATATGTATATATATATGTATGTAACTCCTTTCAATCACCATATAATAGGCACTCAGTGAGTAGTATAAATGTGCGAAAAATATGCACAGTTTTTTTGCTCTAATTAACTTAATGCGCTTAATTTTCTTTGTTATATAGTGCACTTTAATAGAACGAGTAAATAATACAAAAAAAAAAAAGAAAAAAATAAAGAAAACAAGAAAAACAAAGAAAAATAACTCTTTTTTCCACCTTTGATGTAAATATTTGATGCTCGATATTTTTGGTAATGAAATACATGAAAGAAACAAAAAAATTTTAAAGGGGCAAAGACCCCCCTGAATTATCTCTGAGTGGGCTGTCGCCCCCTCTGCCCTCCCACTTCCCCCGATTCCACGGCACCATCATATGTTTGCAAAAAAAATTTATTAAAAAATAGTTTTTAAGATCAAACAGTTATACAGTAATTATTGTACGTATGACGATAAAACATGCTGTCATAAATAATTTAATAAAAATTTTAAATTAATTAGACTACAACTGACTGGAATATGTTGCACATTAGTTTGCTAAACTTCATTTTAAGAAAAACGCGATTAAATTTTTAGGACCGGTTATTACCAACTTTTTGGTAGATTGTAGAAATAAACATCAATAAATATCAGTGATTGTTGTATCAATAAATATCATTAATTTGTCGATATAGTTAACCTACGGATTTTATTCTTATTACCAAGAAGTAATTTTACGCGTTATTCCAACCATCGAGTAAGGATTACTGATATTTATTTTAGGTAACTGAGAGATAAAGTCCATGAAAAAATTGGTATAAACGGCCCTTAATCGAAAATTGTCAGACCGTATTTAACAATAAAACAATATGTACAGATGTTAAATATTCTCCAAATATTCTTAAGAATTGCATTACTACTTTATAATTGCGTAAACATTGCTAAATAAATACAATTAGGTAATTAATTTGTATATTTCAGTTTTTACCTTAAAAGTTGTATTTTGACATTATAACTTTTTTATTTTTAACAAAATAAGTATATATATATATATATATATATATATATGTATACTTATTATAATAATAATAAATTACATTTTTTTAAACTTATAATTCAAATTATATTATATTCATAACATTTAAATTCATCAACCAATAAAAAAGTGACTGCTGTCCATCAGCGTTCTGACATGCGCAAGAATTTAATATGTAGAGTTCATTATAGATTTGACGCCAGTCTGATATTAGCAGCCTACAGTATAAATGTCAGTGATCAGGCTCCGGTGTATCGTTCTAGCAACTCTGTTCTAGTGTATCGTTCAGTGCACATACCGATTGTCATACTGTAGTGTTCATATTCTTGTGTGATAACGTCCAATTAAAAAGACAAATATGTCTCTCGTAGATATTTTACCGAACGAAATATTCCTAATAATTTTTTACTTATGTGATGTATATACTTTACTACAGCTCAACAGTGTATGCAAAAAATTTCAAGATCTATCAAACAAGGTCTTAAATAATAAAAGTAACCGTTTGCTTGTTACGAATGAGGTGTCGAAAAAATTTTGTGAACGGTGAGTTAAATATAGCTTAATTCTTATTTGTATTTCAATTTTGGTTATTTACGCGCGTCGCGATTACTTTGGACGCCTCGATACGAGTCGGGAAATAAAATAATGTGAGAGAGTAGTTGCAGATAATACCAATATATTATAAAACACGATCTTTGAATAGTCGGTACAGCAATGTATAAAAATCGTGCGGATTATAAATGCGACTGTACACGGCGATCGCCTGTAGCGGACTCCTCGAGCATGTAACCGCTCTTCCTATCGTTCGCCTTAAAATTTCACCTTCGATAGGCTTCGAAAAGATTCTATTCGTTTATTTCTTGTCTGTTACGTCCCGATGTTTGTCACTGTGCTTCTCGTCTACCGTCTCGTCTGTTATCTTTATTTATGTTTATTTGACCGTATTCGTATACGTGTTTCTCTGGTTAATATTTTCTCTTTTTGGGAAAGCATGTGACGATATAATCGCCACACAATTTATTCTAAAATTTTATAGGAAACACGTAATCTATCAAACCGATTTTTTATAATTTTTACTTCATATTATTGTTCCTACTCTGTCTTAAAATCACATGTTCGTTGATGATTCTCAGTATTATATTTCTCCAAGTAACGACTTTTGCCATCATATGTATTTTCTATAGTCTTTTTATCTGTTTCTACCGCGGTATATTTACATCACATCTTCATTCTCTCATACAAGCACATCAGCGCTAATGAGCCCCCTCTTTCATTTTTCAATCAATAGCTATCAGAAATTTATACATTATATCTGTCGACGTTACAATCTTCTCTATACTTTTGTACAAGTAAATCGATAAAATCACACTCTTAGTCTCCATTAAAGCAATTATTAAAAAAAAGTGTACTCAGATAACAAAAATAATTTTTGTCAAATAAAGTACAATATATGTTGATCTTTTTCATACAAGTTAAAGTTAAGTCATAGCTTTTTGTCGTAATTTTAATCATGCAAAACTTGATTTAATTTTTTAATTATGTCATTTTAAAATACATTTTAATATTTACATATTATCAGTACGTAAAATATTCACAATTTAAAAAAAAAATCACAATGAACAACATACGTCTTATTTTCTTTTGCAGATGTACATCACTATTATCTTCGTATAATTCTAAATTTATTACGCATTACAACTGGAAATATGAAATAGCTCGTAACCATATCATATGTGACTTACAAACGATTATAGATTTCATGGAAGAAGGAAGAGGCATGAGAATGAAGCAAATATGCCTAAAAATGACTAAAAATAAAATTTGGTTTTATGACGAAGATATTCTTTCAGCTTTTAATCGTGCAGAGGACGGTAACATTACGGGAGACAAAATTATTGGAACTTGTAACTGTCAATTTTCAAGCATTGCTTATTGCAATGATATAATTATAAGCGGTCACGTGTAAATATTTATTATAAATTTTGTATTATGTTTATTTATTCTTTTTTAATGTTCACAAAAATTCTTGCAGAGATGGCAGTATTAGGCAATGGAAAACTAAATCACGGAAAAACATTAATAATATTCAACAATTAAAAGCACATTTCAATGTATATGATGAATACGTTTCGAACATAGAAGTAACAACACAACATATTATATCAAGTTCTTCAAATTTAATAAAGGTAAGATTAAAAAATTTGGAATTATGCTATGTTAATGTAGAATGTAGAAGGTAAAAAGTCGGTTTTTGTTTAGATACAGAAAAATACACTTGATGATGATGAATCTGCGGAAAAAACGAAACAATTTATAACGGCAAGAAATTGATTCAGTCAATTTCATTAGACCCTACGGGAACAAATGTAGCTGCTAGTACCGAAGAATCGCTTCTAATTTATGATATTAATAAAAAGTAAGTTATGCTTCTATTAATTAATCGATTTCTACAAATGTTCAATTAAACGTTGACTATGTTTGTACAGACACTATTCTATGATCCGATTTAGTAATTATAATTTGTAATTATAACTTAATAAGTTATATAACATACTGGTGACAGCCTTAAAGGAGCGGTGGTGGCCCACTGTGGAAAAGAGGAAGTTGTATTAAAGAAAATCTGTCTGATGTCTGTCTTTGATTTATATTCCCCATCATAACGGTAGTAAATAAAAAAAGAAAAAAGAAAAAAACAGTTAGTTTACTATTGCAATTCTTTGGCCGCAAAAAACACATTAGTTCTTACGAGAAAGGCTCACTCCAGTATATTATATAGCCCGATGACAAGAGAGGAGTTTGGTTCCTTTCTCTAGTCTTCTAGATTTTCATGTATATTGAGAATAATAAGCAATAAACTAATGTAAAACTATTTTAGTTGTGAGGTAAAGGATGAACGTATAAATCGTAATATTTTTTCCCAAACTACTATGGCAAGATACTCACACTATTCTTATGGTGTATGAACAATATATTAAAAAAATGGATACAAGGTAATAAATCTTATTGTCGACATTAATATTCAATTCAGTTATATTCGTTACTGTGATTTTAGAACTTTCGAATTTGTACGTACATGGGATGCTTCTGTCGTAAAAAGTTTTTATGAATTACATAGTTTCTCTTCAGATTATTTGTATACTATTATGACAGGGACAAATATTGGCACAGTACTTCTATGGGATCAAAGATCAAATGATTACATTCAAGTTTGTATTAGTTTTTATTGTTATGTATTTTGCAATGACCTTTATTAATAACCTATTATTAACTGTTTTAAAAATTTTCAGACGTATGATATATATCCTGTTGTTTCAAATTCTGTATTTTCTGTGGAATTTGATAGCACCCATATGTATGCTATTTCAGAACAAGATGGTGTGGTTGAATTTAATTTTCAAGAAGAAGACTATTACGACCGCGCTGAAAGGAAAGAGTATTTTAGCAAATTTATTTAAATTAAAAAAGTTGTCTAACAATTTTTCTTCTATTATACTTTGATTGTTTACAAAAATTATATATTTAATGTACTGAAAAATAAAAATAAATGGAATATTGTTGTATGTAATATGTCTGCTCCAAAAATACATATTTCTCAAAATATAACATTAGCGTGTGCAAAAACTATTTGTCCAAAACAAAAAAAGATTTTTAATCTTTGCGCTGGCAATTAATTCAGAGGTAAGCATGTCCAATCCGTCCAAAGAACAATGTCGGAAATATTTATAAAATTAATTTTAAACAAAAGCAACAAGCTTGTTTGTTTAAAAAAATTTTATTATAGACTACGTGTTACGCTCGTTATTCCTATATTTGGAACAAATAGCAATTGACGTGCTATGCGCGTTATTCTTGCGTAAGAGATAAAAAAAATATTGGAGTTATAGTTGTACGTACAGAATTTAAAATTTCAAATATTATAAGAATTACGCATGTTTGGAAAAAAATTTTTTTTAAGAACAGATTGTTATAAAGTAAAGATTGTACGTATGACAATAAAACATATTGTCAAAAATAATGTAATAAAAATTTTAAATTAATTAGACCAAAACTGACTGGAATATGTTGCATATTAGTTTAATAAACATAATTTTGAGAAAAACGCGATTAAATTTTTAGAGTCGGTTATTACCAACTTTTTGGTAGACTTTAGAAACAACAATCATTAAACATCAGTAACTGTTCAATCAACATATATCAGCAATTTGTTGATAATGATCACATACAAATTAAATTATTATTACCAAGAAGTAATTTTACTCGCTACTCCAACCATCGCATAAGGAAGGCTGCCATTTATTCAAAGTAACTAAGACGTAAAGTCTATCAAAAAATTGGTATAATCGGCTCTTAATCGAAAATTGTCAGACCGTATTTAACTTTAAAAAAATATGTAAACATGTTAAATATTCTCCAAATATCTTTAGGAATTGCAACATTACTTCATAATTGCGTAACCATTGCTAAATAAATACAATTAGGTAATTTTTTTGTATAAATCAGTTTTTACCTTAAAAGTTATATTTTAACATTATAATTTTTTTATTTTTAACATAATAAGTATAAATATATATGTATATACTTATTATAATAATAATAAATTAATCTAATACATACAAAGAATAATAATAATAAATTATACTTTTTTTAAACTTTCCGAGAAAAAATGATATAATTGATCAGATATAAATATAAATAATTAATTACAAAAAAATCTAATAACATATGTAATTTTATATGATCATATAAAATATTACATCTTAGATCTTTTCATAACTAATTATATATATTTACATCTGAACATATTATACCATTTTTTCTCGGGTTGTGATTCAAATTATATTATATTCATAACATTTAAGTTCATCCACCAAAAAGGTAACTGCTGTCCATCAGCGTTCTGACATGCGCGAGAATTTAATATGTGGAGTTCATTATAGATTTGACGCCAGTCTGATATTAGCAGCCTACAGTATAAATGTCAGTGATCAGGCTCCGGTGTATCGTTCTAGCAACTCTGTTCTAGTGTAGCGTTCAGTGCACATACCGATTGTCATACTGCAGTGTTTATATTCTTGTGTGATAACGTCCAATTAAAAAGACAAATATGTCTCTCGTAGATATTTTACCGAACGAAATATTTTTAATGATTTTTGATTTATATGACGTATATACTTTATTACAGCTCAACAGGGTATGCAAAAGATTTTATAATCTATCAAACAATACCTTAAATCAAAAAAGTAACCATTTGCTTGTTACGAATAAAGTGTCGGCAAAATTTTGTGAACGGTAGGTTAAATATAGTTTAATTTTTATTTGTATTTCAATTTATTCTAAAATTTTCTCTGTAACACGTAATCTGTCGAACCAATTTTTCATAATTTTCGCTTCATATTACTGTTCCTGCACTATCAAAATTCTGCACTAATAAAAACATATGTTTGCTGATGATTCTTGATATTAAAATTCTCCAAGTAACGACTTTTGCCAGCATATGTATTTTCTATAGTTTTTCTATGTGTCTCTATCACGGTTTATTTACATCACATCTCCATTCTCTCATACACGCAAATCGGCGCTAATGTGCCCCTCCCTTTCATTTTTCAAGTAATAAACAAAAATTTATACATTATATCTGTCGACGTTACAATCTTCTCTGTACTTTTGTACAAAATAAATCACTAAAATCATACTCTTAGTCTCTATCAAAGCAATTATTAGTAAAAAAGTGTTCTCGGAAAACAAAAATATTTTTTTTTTAAATATAGTACAAATACGTTAATAAAACTTTTTCGCGCATACTAACGTTAAGTAATAGCTTTTTATCGTATTTTTAATTGTGCAAAACTTGATTTAATTTTTTAACCATGTCTTTTTAAAATACATTTTAATATTTAGATATTATCAGTACGTAAAATATTCACGATTTTACATAAGATCACATTGAAGAACGTACGTCTTATTCTCTTGTACAGATGTAAACCGTTATTATCTTCGTATAATTCTAAATTTATTACGTATTACAACTGGAAATATGAACTTCCTGATATGAATTACTACCATAGGGACGAATTCGTTATTGAGTCCTTAGAAAATATGAGAAGCATAAAAATAAAAGACATGTGTCTAATAATGACTGAAAATGCAACTTGGTTTTATGTCAAGAAGAAACTTGCAGCTTTTAATCGTTCAGAGGACGGTACCCTTACAGGAGGAAGGATTATTGGATTGTGTAACTGTCAATTTTCAAGCATTGCTTATTGCAATGATATAATTATAAGCGGCCACGTGTAAATATTTATTTATAAATTTTGTTTGATGTTTATTTCTTTTTTTCTTTTATTTTTCGCAAAAATTCTTGCAGAGATGGTAGTATTAAGCATTGGAAAATTGAATCACGGAATAACATTAATAATATTCAACAATTAAAAGCACATTCCAATGTATATGGTGAACACGTTTCGAACATTGAAGCAACACCGCAACATATTATATCAAGTTCTTCAAATTTAATAAAGGTAAAATTATAAAATTCGAAATTATGCTATGTTAATGTAGAATGTAGAATGTAAAAAGTCTGTTTTTGTTTAGATACAGAAAAATTCCCTTGAAGATGATGATTTTGCGGAAGAAAACGAAACAATTTATAGCGTCAAAAAATTGATTCAGTCAATTTCATTAGATCCTACAGGAACAAAAGTTGCTGCTAGTGCCGAAAAATCGTTACTAATTTATGATATTACTACAAAGTAAGTTACGTTTCAATTAATTAATCGATTTCTACAAATGTTTGATTAAACGTTGATTATGTTTGTACAGACACTATTATATGATCCCATTTCGTATTTATAATTTGTAACTATAACTAAATAAGTTATATAACATACTGGTGAGAGCCTTAAAGAAGTGATGGTGGCCCACTGTGAAAAAGGGAGATCTACATTAGACGAAAAAATCTGTCTGATGTCTGTCTTTGGTTTTATAATATCCCCCATAACGGTAGTAAATGTTGAAAGAAAACAGACGTCTGCTATTGCATTCCTTTGGCCGCAAACTACATATTAGTTCTTACGAGAAAGGCTCACTCCAGTGTATTATATAGCTCGATGACAGGAGAGGAGTTTAATTTCCCTTCTGCAGTCTTCTAGATTTTTATGTATATTAGGAATAATATGCAATAAACTAATGTAAAACTATTTTAGTTGTAAGGAAATGGATGAATGTATAAATGATAATACTTGTTCTCAACTACTATGGCAAGATCCTCACTCTATTCTCATGCTGTATAAACAACAGGTTAAAAAAATGGATATAAGGTAATAGATCTTATTGTTGACATTAACTGGTTATTCAATTTAGTTATATTTGTTACTGTGATTTTAGAACACCCGCATTTGTACGTACATGGGATGCTTCTGTCCTAGACAGTAATTATGAATTATATAGTTTTTCTTCAGATTATTTGTATACTATTATAACCGGGACGAATATTGGCACAGTGCTTCTATGGGATCAAAGATACAATGATTGCGTTCAAGTTTGTATTACTTTTAAATTTTATGTGTCCTTCAATGACCTTTATTGGTAACCTCTAATTAACTGTCTTAAAAATTTTCAGACGTATGATATAGATTGTATTTATAAAAACCCTATATATTCTGTGGAATTTGATAGCACCCATATGTATGCTGCGACACGAAACGAGGATTTGAATGAATTGTTGTTTAAGGAAAGATACTATTGTGACCGCGCAAAAAGGAAGAAGTATTTTAGCAAGTTTGTATAAATAAAAAATGTTAACTAATTATTCTTTTTTCTATTATACTTTGATTGTATAAATAAAATATATATTTTATGTCATAAAATAGAGTATAAATGCTAAATCTTTATATGTAATATGTCTTCTTCAAAAATCCATATTTCTCGAAATATAACATTAGCGTGTGCTAAAACTATTTGTCCGAAACAAAAAACGATTTTTAATTTTTTGCACTGGCAATTAATTCAGAGGCAAGCATGTCCATTCCGTCCAAAAAACAACGTCAAAAGTATTTATAAAATTAATTTTAAATAAAAGCAACAAACTTGTTTGTTTAAAAAATTTTTTATATAGACTACGTGTTACGCTCGTTATTCCTACATTTGGAACAAATAACAATTGACGTGCTATGCGCGTTATTCGTGCGTAAGAGGAAAAAAAGAATATTGGAGTTATAGTCGTACGTACGGAATTTAAAAAATTTAAAAATTACGCATGTTCGCAGAAAAAATTTTTTTAGGGACAAATTGTTATAAAATAAAGATTGTACGTATGACAATAAGATATACTGTTAAAAATAATTTAATAAAAATTTTAAGTTAATTAGACCAAACTGTCTGGAATATTTTGCACATTAGTTTAATAACTAATTCACTTGAGAAAAACGTGATTAAATTTTTAGGGCCGGTTGTTACCAATTTTTTGGTAGATTTTACCGCTCAGCTACCTAAAATAAACATCATTAAACATCAGTAATTGTTGTTCTATCTATTGATAAACTTACGGATTAAATTCTTATTACTAAGAGGTAATTTTACTCGGTATTCCAACCATCGAGTAAGGATTACTGATATTTATTTTAAGTAACTGAGAGATAAAGTCTATCAAAAAGTGTGAACAATTGGCCCTTAATCGAAAATTGTCAGACCGTACCTGCCGAAAAGTTGCGCATTCTCCATTAAATTGAGCGGCTTGTCGGGGATGACGGCGCGATCGATTAAGGGCGCGTAGGCTGGCACGTATTTCGGCTTGTGAATTTTCACGTGTAGAAGCGTGTCTACGTCCTGGTTGCGCAAACAAAGCGCCAGTTCGCTGTCGCTAGTAGTAGGACAGTTGAGAGCGTGTGCCACCTGAAAAACGATCCTCGTCATTGCTCACGAGCGCAATGAACGCGGCGAACCACCAACGAACGATTCTTCGCCGTGACGAGCGACGATATTTCTTTCCGTCGAATTCAAATCGTGAGTATAGCAGAAACACGGCGCCGTCATTTGTGAAACATACGTTGCCATTTAGAAAGCAAAAACTGTGATAAATGATAGTCTTTTTTTGGTCTTTTTTTGAAGTTTACAATGATGTGAATAGGAATTTCAAGAAGTAAAAATTTTGAAAGTTGAGAGTTATAGATGAGTGGAAACTAAATGTACTGGGAATACAATTAAAATAAATTGAAAATTACTAGAATAAATTTAAAGATCGATATTTAATAAAATAATAAGATGAAAGAAGAGAATAAGAACTGATCAAAGTAAGAAAAAAAAATAAATATATGTTTCTTAAAGATTTTTGCTTTGATATATATTAATATACAAGAGATTCCACGATTTTTGAAATTAAAAAATGATCTAATCGCCAAATAAATCCTTCTTTTATATTTGTTTAAAATAGAATTGTTAAAAATTGTTCACATATTTAAACTCAAACAAGAGGAAATAGCAAATAGCAAAATAGCAAATAAAATATCACATTGGATGCAAGCAAACGTTATTTTCAGTAACGGTATGCTATTAACCAGTAACGGTGTGCTTTTTGGTCTAAAAATTCAATGATGGCATGGCATCCTACTTCAAACACTAAATAAAGAAATCTAAAAATCTACGATTTCTCTCTCAAAAATCTGGAAAATTTTAAGAATTCCAAATAATTGGAATATATTAAGAACTCTATAATCAATAAATTTATTTAAAACTTCAAAAATACAAAGCTATTGAAATTTATAGAGATCAAAGAATCAATAAACTCTTTTAAATATGATAAACTTAACGCTATGAAAGCACCTAATAATCCAGAGCTTTAAGAATCTGTGAGAAAAACTCGAAATCTTTTAAATTCTAAAATTAAATCAATCGTAGAATTAATGATAATAGATGCTGCGTGTAGCGATTTGTCATTCCGTAAAACTGTAATCCGAGCGCATCAATCCTCATCTCGCGTTTTTATTCGCGTCTATTATGCAATGGCATCTTTCTTTACCTGCTTGGTGATTTGCAGTGGCGCCTTGCCGATAGCGTCCGCGCTCATTGCTGATCCAGACATCAAAATAGCCCGTTTGAATAGACCTAACAAAATGAGAATGCCACAAATTAGTAATTTAATTATCTAATACGATCGAGCAACACTTAAACTGCATTAAAAGTTTATTCTAAAAAATAAAAATATTTAAACTTGCTAAAAATTATTTTTTGATTTTATTGTCTGCAAACAATTTTTGCCCTTAAAATTTAAAACTGAAAAAAAAAGATTAAAATTAATAAAGAATTTGTAATATTATTTTTATACCATTTGAAAATATAGATTTTTTATAAAAGAATCTTTTCGCTTGATAAAAATATATCGCTCCTCAAGCATGATCTAACAAATGATTACATTTATGTCATGTATGAAAAGAGAAGAAGTGTGCCATAAATAAAATAGCACCAATGTTTGAGAACCCTCGCGTGGTACAGGCAGGCATTTCTGTCTCGACGTGTAAAATATTAAGTCCGGTTATTTTTCATTGCACAATATAATTATTGGCCGGACGCGATGGCATTGTGCGCTCGGCCGGAAGAGAAAAGTTCCTTTTCCCGACCGCCATTGCGAGCCGGTCGGGTGAAAAATGGTCGACATCTTCTTTCTTGCTTTTGCTCGTTCTCACTGACCCTGCCGAGCACCGCCGAGTACCAAAGAGTGCTTGAGTGCTCAGCGGTCGATGTGTGCTCACCATTGAACACGTGTAGACTAGCGGTTCTTAGCCCCTTGTCAAACTCGGAAATATCACAATGCAGGCGCTTGCGATTCGTAAAGGGCAAAACTCGAAAAGAGTAATTGAAGTCTGAGTTGAAATCCGAATAAACGGAACTGTCCGATAGTACCGTATAACGATACAATATTTTTCAAATGCATATAACCATCTAATAATTATCTGCAGCTACTTTTTAATAATTTTATCACGCTGTAAATGGTAGATTAAAATCGAATATTAGACATTCGATCGTCTCAACGTGCACATTGCACATTACCATATTTCATCCAGCGTCCCTCTCACCCGTCCTATTCTAGGATTACAAATCATGTTCTTGTTCGCGCGCTCTCTCATGCTATGTCGTTCTTTTGTCGCGATAGATGCTTGCTCCTGCTGCTCGAATCCTGGGCAGTCGCCTAATAGCTGTGGTTATCGACGTTGTATGCGAGCCTTGCTTTCCTGTATGGTCTACATACATTTAACAGATTCAAAACATACTCATAGTCTTGTTTAATATAATAATTTAACGACTGATTATTTTATTGTGACTCGAATATTGTAATATTAATATTAGGCTTTGATTTCACTAATTACTTTACTGCAATTCAAATATTGCTCCTTCAATGGCTGGTGAATCTAACGACTTAGTTTTATTTGCATTTTATTTTGTGACACTTTAATTGCGCTATTTTATTCTTGATAAAATACGCTCTTTTTTTAATTAACTACTGAACCATTCATGCAGAAGTATTCGTCGAACATTGTCACATGCATATTAGTATATTGTGCTCAATTCAAGAGTATGCCTATCTCTCTTGCTCTGATTCCTCCAATTAATCCCACGATTATCTCCCGCCGACTCGGAAATCGCGATCTCTATACGCGATCGCTTACGCTCCTATGACTATGGATAATGTTTCCAATTACAACGAAGAGAGGGATTAGTTCGAATTGCATATCGTCTTTCGATTCTTGCGAGCGAGTACCATTACAAATGGATGTTCGAGATAGTGTTTTTATCAAAATAAAATTAGCAGAAGTCAGATGACAATAATAGAAGAGTAAAAGAATAAAACGTAGAGAGTACATTTATCAAAGACAACTTTATAAAATCTCAGCAAGAGAAAAATAATTAGGAGCAATATAATTGTTCAAATAAAATAAATTAAGGCTTATATAAACCTCATTTAATTCGCGTTTCATTATTTACAATATCTATAATAACTTTATAATATTTGTATTATAAAAATTGTTGTTCCTCTTTACCTTTTTTGTTGGCTACTGGACTGATCAGAAGTAAATTAGCAAAAATAGCTCCAGTCCCGTGACCGACTAAAGTGACACTGTTAGGATCACCGCCAAATTCCGCGATGTTTTCTCTTAGCCAGAGCAAAGCCGCTATTTGATCTAATAACCCGAAATTGCTCGCTGTGTCGTCCTTAATTCCAGGTCTTAGGAAACCTGCAACAAAATTTTTGCAATTAGTTAATCTGTTTTTTAAATAAAAAAATATTTAAAAAATTAATAATCTTAAATATTAAAAGTAAATTTGAAAAACAATTTTTAAATCTACGAACGGCTAAAAATTAACAATTAAAAAATTGAAAGATTAAAAAATACGGAAATCTAAGCATTTGAAAGTTAGAATAAATTTATTTGGAAATTCAATAATGTAAAGAAATATGTGTTCTTAAATTTCAACAACAAGAGAGCTGTTAGAATCTCGGATACCTAAAATTCATGGGAATAAAAAGTAAAGCCTCTCTTAAAGATAAAAATTCTGTAAGCACCAGCTATTTAATCTGAAAGTAGAGTTTCTGCGACGCGTCTTGTCTTCCCTTTTTTTTTTTTTTATTAAGGATTCTATATAACTGGGATTCTAGGTTTCAAGATCCCCGGAGACTCGCGTATTCGGTGTCCCAATTAATTAGCTCCGCAGAGATGCGAGACTCTCCCCTCGCTCTTAAACATGAAGCACTTTCGCGCGGGGTAACGCGATCGTCGAGGCTCTTTTTGCTCGGGCAGCCGCTTCGCGCTCGGGACCATATTTTTCCCCCTGTTTTGCGCAGGGCGGACATGGCGGCGGCAGGCGGGTTAAAGTTATCCGCAGGCTCCTCACGGGCTAACTCACGGCCGTCCTAGAGAGCGGGTCGGGGTTACTAAGCGCTTCCCCAGCACTTTAACCTAATTTATGATTATGGTTTCGCGTCCGCCTGTGTTTTTTTTTTCTTTTGCGAACCACTCCACTTACCGGATATACCGAATGTACCCGCATACACACGTACACACGCTGTGAGCCCCCGTCCATTTGCATCGCGCCGTCGCTGTCATCTCGCGCGAGAAGGGATTGCCGGAATTTCACTGTTAACCCCCTTCAGGACGACCGCTGTACACGACAATTTCGGATTGCAAACGTCGTGATGCACCACGCTTTCTAGATTGCAGTTTTTAACGGACTTTTTGAATAATGACGCTTTCGCATGACCACTCGCGTGCAATGAAATATATACTATTACTGCATCAGTTACCTTTTTACGTGCAACAATGAGAGAAGTGTGCACCGCGACAATGTATGGAATAATTTAACGTTTTCTTTTTTTTTTTTTTATATACTCGAAATATCACGCTACGATTTAACGCGACCTTATTGCTGTTAAATCGTCCATATGAATATTTTCATGATTGATTAGAATGGTTGAGGAAGAAAAAAGCTTTATATTAAACCAATGTTATCCTCTTCTTGAATTTCACATATTGCGTGTTTTAGCGCAAAATAGTTATTTACGATTACACCAGCATGAGACAACGGAGAGCGTCGTTTACACTTCCGGTGACGTGATAAGTCGATCGCCTTGTATTGGCCTCGGCGAACTTTCTTTGAAGGCGAAATCCAATATTGAAAAGCTTGAGGCGATAAAAATTTAGATAAGAAGTTTGCGAGGCAGCCCTCGCAAACGACGAGCCGTAACAAAGTTATTTATATGGCGAAACAGTAAAAGTATATTAGATGTTAGTGCTTTTCTGCATGGCAGATCAATCGATAGCTTTTCGCTTTTCTATAGATGCAGGCTGATGAAAAAAATTTTTAAAATGATCCAAATCAATCTTTGATAATTTATGTATATCAATTGAAATTCTTTTATCTATCGATATTCAATCTCCACATTGATAGTTAAACTTTAAACGTAGATTCAAAAAGTTATACTTTTAATTAGAATTTTCATAGCTTCGAATTAATTCTCAATATATAAATAAATATTATTACGTTACCAATCGTGGATTCAATTATATTTTCATATTTTTTATTATATTTTTATGTTAATAAAACTTTACATTTATTTATAAATATGTATTTCTTACCTAAGATACCAAGACGAAAATTAATTGTAACAAAAACAATATTGCCATAAGCCGCCAATATAGTACCGTCGTAAGGGTTGCCGCTGTTCCATTCGAAACTTTCGCCGTGGATAAACACCATAACTGGATACCTTCTTAGATTTTTCTGACCTGAAACAAGTTAAATATTTTATAGTTAGCGTAAAAATATTAATAGCTCAAATAACTTAAAGTTTATATTTTTATGTACTTTAAATATTTCCTAAAAACTTTGTATCTTTATACTTCTAAGCCCAAAATAAACAAGAACGTAATGTTTTGATTTTAAAATTACGTACGTTCAACTCTCTGCAGTTTGTTAAAAAAATTTTCTTGCGAGATTTATAATAAATGTCAAAAATTACAACATTTTACCTATAAAAAATGCAATTTTTTAAAATTTCCCTACAATTTTTTTAGCCAAATTACATGATTTTGAAGCTAAAACATGCATTTTTTACACTAATACTACAGCCAATGGCAAACGCTATTTTTCACAAAACGTTGTTTTTAAAGTCGCATAATTCGAATAAAAAAAAATCGGTAGAAAAATAAAAAAAAGCGTTTTATAGGTAACATATTGTAGTTTTTGACATTTGCCATAAATTTTGTGCGAAAAATTTTTTTATTGACGATAAAACAATATGTTCTTTGTTTAAGCTTAGAAGTGTAAAGATAAAAAATTTTCAAAAACTGCCTAAAGCACGTGAATGTACAAGTCTCAAGCTTTAAAATGCTTTTTTTATTTTTTCTGTACGATGATTTTTCGCCGAGTTACAGCGATTTGAAAGTCGGTCAATTTTAAGCGTCAGAACGTCTCGACGCGGCAGAGCAGTGCGGTCGAGAACGGCTCAGTGTGCGCCATTAATACGCACGGTGCCGTATAAATGGCGCGCACTCCGCCAGTCTGCCGCACTGTTCTGCCGCGCGTCAAGACGTTCTGACGCTTAAAATTGACCAATTTTCAAATCACTGTAACTCGGCAAAAAATCATCGTAGATCAAAAATTAAAAATGCATTTTAAAGCTTGAAACTTGTACTTTCACGTGCTTTAGGCTGTTTTTGAAAAATTTTTTTATCTTTACACTATTGAGTCCAAAGAAAGAACACATTGTTTTTTTGTTAATAAGACAATTATTCTCAAAAAATTTATGACAAGTGTCAAGAACTACAACATTTTACATACAAAATACTACAATGTTTTTTTTTTGCTATAATTTTTTTATCCGAGTTATGCGGCTTTATAACCAACTCTAGGATGAGTGTAAAAAATACAAGTTTAGCTTCAAAGTCGTGTAACTTGGCTAAGAAAAATTATAGGAGAATAAAAAAAAACGCATTTTGTAGGTAAAATGTTGTAGTTTTTGACAGTTGTCATAAATTTTATTGAGCTGCGAAATGCTGAACGTAAGTAATTTTAAGAACAAACCAATATGTTCTTGGACTTTGTTTTAAGCTTAGAATTGTAAAGATAAAAAATTTTCAAGAAACAATCTAAAGCACGTGAAAGTACAAGCTTCAAGCTTTAAAATGTTTTTTAAATTTCTTTTCTGCGATAATTCTTTGTCGAGTTTTAATGGTTTAAAACCTGCTGAATTTTGTGCATCTGAGATGTGTTCCCTATTTCTGTTGAGTAGTGTACGTAAATTGGAAAATACGAAGGATAAAATTTCCATTAAACCATTAATCTTTGGCGATCGGTAATATTTCACCGTGTGCAGTGAAGGTAATTTTTTAATTGTATTTAAGAAGCTTTTGGATCTTGGAGAACATTCTTCGAGAACCTCTGATTTACATCAGACGAAAAATTATCGCCGGAGTTTGTTTGCGAGAATGGAAGCACAGGATTAGTCTTGAAATTTATATCATCCCCTCCCCCCCTTGCAAACTATTCACAGTGAGTTTTCGATATTAGGGTAACCATAAATTCTTCTCCACCACCCACCATCCTTCGAATGGCGTAGTTTCCTTTTAGCGTGCGATCCGCAAATTAGACTTGGACGACAGTGTTCCGGAAAGACTTATTGGAAAATCCACTCTGCCAAACTTTCTGCTGACATTTGAATATCGAACTTGTCATTGATTGCAGTAAATCATTTCGTTCCCAAATGTTGCGATAAACCACGAATTAATGCGTATTATTACTGCGATATAATTATTAATTTTTGTTTATATGTAAATTGTACGATAAGTCTCATTATTTTTAATTATTTAATGAAAGCTTACATTTTCATAAAATTTAGCGAAGGAAAATTTTTTGTAAAATATTTAATTTTTAGTTCTTATCTTTTGAATGAGATGAGGTAATGTAAAAGATCTAGGAGATACACAAATATCATCTGCGTTATATGGCAAGCAACATCGGAAATGAAATGGCAGAGATTTCATCCCTTGGCGACTTCGAGAGGCGACGATCTAAAAACTCATTTAGCCGCGAAGCTTATCCCGAGATTTAATTAACGGTTTCAATTATCACCGACGGTCGTTCGCGTTGAACTAACGTATCTCCTATTTCCTCCGAAGCGCTCGATAGGATAGACTAGCACTCGATACATCTCGATAAATCAAGACACTCGATCCTGACATTCTCTCTACCGAATTTTCTTGCCTTCCTTTTGACAACGACAACCCGTTTTATATTTCTCACGACGCGAAAATCGTCCTATTAATACTTAAAAATTCCTATATCATTTCCGCAATTTTCTAAATCTGTATCTGATTAATTTATTGTTATAAGAACACAAGTATAAAAGAGTTATTAGGCTAATGTATAATTTTTTAACCCAGGAATTATCGTGCGGAGGTTTTTGTACTCCAATAAATGCTATAATATATAACAATAAGCCGCTTAATGTACTTATTCTGTTTTCTTAATGTATTTTTTACTTTTATTTCTTTTTCAGAGAATAATAAAAGAACCGTAATGTCTTCGAATACTAACAAAACGCACAGCAATCTATGTGATCGTTAAATGGATTTTTAATGGATTTTTAAAAAACACTTTATTCGCTCTTTTCGCCAAAAAAAAACCATGTAATCGCTCTTAAATTACATATTGTAATTTTACTATAATTTAACGCATCTTTATCATTTCTTTCATATCTTCTATATCGAAATTCATGATATTTACGGAACAGGAGCGACACCGTTACAAATATTCTATCTCATTTCTCCTTTATGAGGAACATTGTGATAGCTGCCGCACAATCGCGTCCACGCTTGCGTCCGTCCATTGGGCCCTATACATCACGGCGATCTCGAGCCGGAACAAGCACCGGCAGAACAAGAGAAAGCGACAGGGACACGCGATCGCTGCGAAATTTACATGAAAATTGAACGGCAGATCGATCGATGCGTTCTGCATAAAATTGATGTATCGCGAATCATGCGCGGAGATATTTTCATCTTGCGTCACGTGAGCGCGCGTGGCTCGCGCGCGAGCAACGAAGTCCGCCATCGCCGCTGCCATAAATCACTTCGCGTGAATCTATATTTTAATAAAAGAAAAACCATTCCACCACATCGGAGCGAAGGCGTATTTTTCGCTATAAAAAAGACACGCTCGTAACTCGCGAAATGTCTGAAGCCGCCGATGTGAGATGCATTATTTTTTTTTTATTCAGAGAAACCGTGGCGATTTATTAAATTCGGATACAGAAATATTGCAGAGAACAATCAATGCGTAAACGTAAAATTATAATAAAACAAGTAAGCAGAATAAATACATTAATAAATTCCTGCAATGTAAATTTTTAATTCTAAAATTGAGAAATTAAATGGATCGATCAGATCTATGCAGATCGAAAAGTTTAAACAACGCGTTGAGTTAAAAAGCGTAATAAGGTCGGTAAACTAGTAAAAACTCTTTGTGTTAAAACTGAAATTGTTTAAATTTTGTATTAGCATTAAAAATGCCCGATCACTGTGAACAAATTAATCCTCAATATATAGACCGTTTTTATTGCGCGGCGTAATTAGTGTTATTGATGTGTCGCTTCTGGCGAACACGAGGTAATACGAGGATAAATATTTACGAGATATCGCGGTGCGCGGAAACATCGTTCTCGTAATTCACCAAGTTTCGTAGAGCCGATCTCCTTCCAGTACGTTTGCATGTTCGTGTAAATAATGGATTTACAGCCCTTTTATGGCGTCTACAGATGCCTGTAGAAACTGGTTGACGCGCAAGCGAGCGTCGCGTCGATAATGGCTATAAATCAATGAAAACCTCTCTTAAGATCGACTGATACTCATCCCCTCTTATTCTCCTCTTGCTCCTTTTCTTTCTTCCGCCCATAATATGAAAACAGCATCTCTCGGAAGCAATGAGCAAGGGAGCGGAAAAACCACCCCTAGATACAGAGGGTGGAAAACGCACCAACCTCCGCCATCTTGCGAAGCTTGCAGCAAACCGTTGACACTATCGCTTACCGCACCCCTATGTAGATGCCAGCACAAATATTATTTTACTCGAAAATCAAAACGGCGGTATTCGTAAAAATTTTGTCACCTTGTAAATCAATACATTCAAGTCCGCGAAAACCCGCCCTTTTTATCTTCCAGCTGAATAATTTATTAATTTTTAATAAAATAATTTAATTCTTTCGTTTTTCAGCGACGTATTAGCCAACCTTACAACTCGTCGATATTTTACATTGGTCTAACAATTAAAATTTTTAGTTAAGCGAAAAAGTAATGTTAAAAGTTCTGGTAAAGTAAAATGTTTATCAGTTTTAATCATAGTAAAATTTTGAATAGCATAAAAATGTTAAAACATTTTGTAAAAAAATATATATAAAGATTTTAAAGTAAAAAATTTAATATTCAATATGAAACGTTTTAAAATATAGAATTGTTTCCACATTCATACGATAGTTATTTTTTCATCACTCCGTAATCCGGCTTTTCGGCGGCATCCCTCGTTGGTATCACAGCCATCTTTGGTCGCGAAGGACAGGGATTCTGCAGTTCCGTGGAACGATATACTCGTCTCGCGCAGGCAAAGTGCGGAGTCGTGTCGAGCGTTTTTTGCGAAGCGATCGTTTCGCAAAATCGCGCGAGCTGCCGGCTGAACGCCGGAAATTGGAGGAACGACGGAACATGTACCGACCGCGAGCCTCTCCGCTTTCTCT